ACACCTCCTCTTCTTCTTCTTCTTCAGTCCCGATCACCAGCAATGGCAATGGTAGTGTCCATCCAGCTGATCATCGGCTCTTGCCGTCCGGCTCCAGCTCAAGAAGTGCTACAGGGGACGGCCCTTCGGGAGTTCAAGTGTTAGGTTCCACTGCTCATACTTCTCATCCTCATCCTCATCCTCATCCTCATCCTTCTCATCACCTTCCATTTGCCGGCAGCTATCCAGGCGTCAGTCATCCTCATCCTCAGTTTTTTCATCCCTATCCCCAGTTCCACCCCCATCCTCCAAGCGGTTTTAACAATGGCAGCAGTTCTTCCGGCGGCAGTTCCTTCCTCTACAGCCAAGGACGAGGACATCCGAGCTTTAATCCCACCAGGCCTGCAGCGGTAGCGGTGCCGCCCATTCGACCGATGGTAAGTGTGCAAATGCTTTAATAACAAAAATTGTTTTTTTTTATTTTTATCATTCAATTGTAATCATTTCAGGAACCTCCAACGCCAACTCGAGTTGCCAAAGGAAGGGGAGGCGGCGGCGGCGGCGGCGGCGAGGGGGGTCCAGCTAGACCACCCAAAAGTCGTAAGGTAATCATTTTTTTAATTGAATAGTGTTTTTTATTATCTTTAAACTTATGATAATATTTTCATTTTTACAACAGAGACCATCAAGTTCACGAAACCTCGACGACCACTCGGGAGGTGGTGGTGGTGGCAGTGGCAGTGGCAGTGGCAGTGGCAAATCACCCCATCACTCTCCAGGCCACGGCAACAACAGCCCAGCCAACATGATCAATCTGGAATCCAACCACCATTCCGGCGCCTACTACCCCGAGGACGCGGCCGACTACGAGGAGCAGGAGGCGACAGTCAATCACCGGAAGGCCCGCTCAGTGGGCCGCTTCAATCGCAACAACTTCCTCATCAGCGAGCTGTTCAGCGAGCTGGTCGTGCCCGACCCGCGGCAGGCGGCCAGCCAAAGTCGCGTGGAGGCCCTGAAGCGGCAGGCCGACTCGCTGATGGCCCACCAGCAACGCTCCCTCGCGGAGATCGTCTCCATGGAGAGGGCCTTCAAGGAGCGGACGGAGGCACTTCAGGCGGCCAGCGAAGAGTTCAATCGGCAGCTGGCGTTGCTGAGCAAGCCGGTGCGCGACGACGATGACAACTTCCTCGCGGCCTTCAATCGGGCCCTGGCGCAGATTACCGAGCAGAATCAACAGCAGCAGCAGCAACAGCAACAACAGCAACAGCAAATCCAAGAGCAGACTTTGTATTCAGACAGAAATGGCCACGAGTCCTTTTCCGCTTCTTCTTCTTCAGGGCACTCAGTTTCAACTGCTGCTGTTCCTGCTGATCCTCCTGTTTCAAATGGAAACCAAACTCCAGTTCAAAGTGATAGTCAAACTCTGCCAACACTTCCACCACCACCACCACCGCCACAACCACTACCAGCTGAGATACCACCTGATAGCCAAAAATCTAATGAAAAGCCGCC